TGTTTATAGATCAATTCATGGTTTATTTAAGTTCCTTTGTGTCACTACTGTGTTTTTTTTTTTATATATTGGGCTTTGATCTAAAAACTTTTTTTGGGGTCAATTGATCCATAAACAAGCTTTTCCTTTTTCTTATGGAATATACTTTATACAAAAAAAAGTACATTAAAAAAAGGAGAAATCTTACTTTAGCATCTACATATGGGCAATAGAGATAGAGGGAGATACATTTGTCATTTACTGTGTATAGGTTCTTTGTTGGTTATAAATGATCTCAGATTTATGTGACACAATAAATATAGTTGTCTGCTTCATTTTTTCTTTTGAAAAATATAGATTAAGATCCTTGATTCATCATGAGGTATTCCAATAAACTAATTATCTTGCTAACTTTATCAACAATAGCTCTCATTTTAGTTGGAGAGAGTCACAAAACAATACCTTCGAAAGAGGAGAAAGAAGAGATGAAGAAGCTACTTACCTATCTCAATAAACCTGCAGTCAAAAGTTTCCAAGTAAATTTAGCATTTCTTTTCTTAAATTTTCATAAAATATTACAAAAATTGTTGATTATTGTAACAATATTACAACTATCATCAAGTTACATTTATTTTCAGACCACACCAATTTTTTCTTGCTTTTGATTTCGACAGACTGAACATGGTTATATATTTGACTGCATCGACATTCAAAAACAGCTAGCTTTTGATCATCCTTTGCTCAAGAACCATTCTATTAAGGTTTATCCTACAAACCACGAAAAAATATCTATAAATAAAATTCTTATTAATGTTTGGATGGATTGAAATATAAATGCAGTTGAAACCCACAACTATACCTAAATGGACCAAAGATAACAACGCTTCTCATAAAACTAGTTCTCTGCCATTTCGACAAGATGACATAAGTTGTCCAGTTGGGACAGTCATTGTCAAAAGAATTATACTTGAAGATCTTATACAAGCTCAACGTTTGAAATCCTTAGGATTCAACTATCCAGGACAAGTGTCTGCAAAGGACAAGAAAATTGATTTAACTGGTCATCATGTAAGAATCATTTCTTATTACACGTAGTTGAATTGAGATTGCCTTGTAACTTGTCCACAATGCTTATAATATTTTTTGATTATCTATTCTTTTTCTCTTTGGATTTTAGTTTGCCACAATTAGTTACAAAGATGACCACTATGGAGCAAAAGGAAACATTAACGTATGGAATCCAAACGTCTCACCTGATCAATTTAGTCTTGCGGCTATGGCTGTATCAGGCAACAAAGGATTTCAAAGCATTTCTGCTGGATGGATTGTAAGTCAAGCTAGACCCTATTTTTACTTATTTTCTAAATCAAAAATTTGGAACTAACATTCCAAAATATGTTTTTAGGTGTATCCAGGGCTAAATCAGAATAATCAAAGTCACTTGTTCACTTACTGGACTGTAAGTTTTTCAAAACTTCTTAAAGTCTTGACTCTTAAATGTGGCATTCATATTATGGCTACTATCTTTGATTTAAATAGGCGGATGGAAATAATAAGACTCATTGCTACAATACACTATGTCCTGGGTTTGTACACGTGAGCACCAAGTATGCAATTGGAATGCTCGCCCAACCAGTTTCCATTTATGATGGTCAACAATATCAACTAGAAGTCAGCATATATCAGGTATATATATAAATATACAACATTAGCTTTCTTCAAACTAATATCGAAAAGTCAAGATTATGTTAACAACTTTTGATTTAAGCAGGATCATGTTACAAGAGATTGGTGGTTTGTGCTAAATAACGAGCCAATTGGATACTGGCCAAAATCATTGTTCACACGTCAAGGTTTAGCTGATGGAGCGAGTGCCGTGTTTCATGATTGGATCGATCTTACATATATCTAAGACTTAGGCTATATAATTTTCTTTTTTTTCACAAAATAGCACTTTTGTGTCGTCTTGAAGATCTAGAAGTTTTCTTTTTGTGTTTATTAGTTTTAGATTTCTTTTTCAATTTTAGGTCATTGAATTGCTACGTTCTTTGTCAAATTATATCTCGTTTAGACTGAGTTTACATATTTTTCTATAAAATGTAAACTTATTTGTAAACCACATTTGAAATTCTTGTTCTTCATAGTTTATATGAGTCTGAGTTCCTTTCGATTAATTTTTGTTTCATCAAATCCTTCTCTTTGAGACACCTAAGTCAGCACAAGTATACAAGAAGAGAAAAGTGTTTTAGAATTTGCTAATAACTCGCACTTAAGAATTTACATCTCTATGTTCTTAAGAAGTCTTAACTACACAAGTTGTTGGGTTAATTTATTTGGTCTAAATCTATGTTCTATGAATGACCTTAAGGATGCACATTCTAGTATGATCTTTTTGCATTAACTTTTTTATTTTGAGATGAAAATCAGAAATTAGATGGTCTGATCTTTAAGCCTTTTGATTTCCACTTCCCTTTTTCTTATTTTAGATTGATACAGATAAATACAATCAATTATGTTTAAGAGATTATGATTGTTTACTTTATAGATTTCTTTTAGAACTTTTCTGTTTGCTTTAGCAGAGAGGTAGATACGTTTATTTCTCAGTATTAATATGAAGAGTTTAATCTCAGATCTTCTCCTTTTAATTTTCTGTAACCTTTAACTATTCATTAATTTATTCACTCTTTATTAATATGATTCCATGAAAAAGTATAAGCCACTTGTCTGTGAGTTCTTCTCAGCATTTTGCTTGTAAGTTGTTCATTCACTATAACTGATTCTTTTGATTCATTTGTTCATTTACATAAGAAAGATAAGAGCCTCTGACTTTTGGATAACCATTTTTTATACACAATGGATTCCTCCAATAAAAACCTTGTGTTACGAATTCTGTTAACAATTTCTCTTGTATTAGTCTCTGAAGCAGCTCATGAAAGCCGGGGGATTCCATCGGAAGAAGAGAAGAAAGAAATGGAGAGGCAACTCAAAGCTATCAACAAACCTGCTATCAAAAGTTTCAAAGTGGGCTTAGCCTTTCCTTCTTCATACATGCTAACTAAGAAACATGACATAAGTTTTTATGAGTATACATTAACCTTTTTTCAACTTTCCCTTTTTGAATAGACTGAACAAGTTGAAATATTCGATTGTATAGACATTCACAAGCAACTAGCCTTTGATCACCATCTGCTAAGAAACCACTCTGTTAAGGTTTTGAGGTTTATCAAATTCTTTATACATAAACTAAAGCTCTTTAGAGAATGACTTTGTGAACTCCTTGGCGTATATATGCAGCTAAAGCCAACAAGTGTACCTAAATGGCCGATCACATACGACAACAAAGGACAAAAAGTTGGTCCTATGCAGCTTCAGCTAAAGGGAATAAGTTGTCCACATGGGACAGTAATTGTTAAAAGGACTACAATCCAAGATCTTATAAACTCGCAACATTTGAAATCCATTGGTTTCAATATCCCTAGACATGTCCTTAGCCAGGGAAGTAACATTGATTTAAGTGGACATCATGTAAGAATCCTTAATTCACAGTATAAAATACAATTACTCTGTTTCCATTTTCTTAATTTCTTCATTCTCTATGGATATTTAGTTTGCAACAGCCGACTATGACTATGACAACGTTGCTGGAGTAACAGGAAACATTAACCTCTGGGATCCACAAGTGTCACATGATCAAGTTAGTCTTGCAACCATGGCGATTGCAGGCGGTCCTAAAATAGAACAGCTCGCCAGCATTTCAGTTGGATGGATGGTGAATCCGTTGTTATACCAAGATCACATTCACTTATACACTTACTGGACTGTAAGTTTTGAGTAACCACTTGAAAGTTTACGCTTATTTTTTTTTTTTCTAACTTGGCATGGTTTTAGTGAGATATATATGGTAATTAAATATTGATTTAAACAGGCAGATGGATATAATAAGACAGGCTGCTACGACATAAGATGTCCTGGATTCGTGCAAGTCAGCAAGAGGATACCACTTGGTGTCCTTCTTCAACCAATTTCTGTTTATAATGGCACACAAAAAGAAATGGACTTAAGCTTGCATCAGGTAGTTACCTCCAGAGTCTCTGGTGATCTCATCTTTTAAGTCACTTAGATATTCATCTTATAATATCGCGAACAGGATCGTGTCACGGGGGATTGGTGGCTTATATTTGGAGGTGTGAATGTTGGGTATTGGCCACAGTCATTGTTCATAGCGTCAGGCTTAGTGAAAGGAGCAGATCTTGCATCTTGGGGAGGTCAAGTGTACAGTCCAAAGACAGAAAAGAGTCCAATCATGGGCAGTGGGCATTTTCCTAAGGAAGGTTTCGGAAAAGCAGCCTTTGTAAACAATATACATATCATGAATGGTAAGGGAGAAGCTTTGATTCCACAAATCTACACTATAGAGACACATGAGAGCAGTCCAAATTGTTATAAAGCCAAGTTTGTTCATGATGAAGATGAACCTTGGATAAGAGCTGTTTACTTTGGAGGTCCTGGAGGATGCTAAGGCAATAATCTATGAACTGGAGAGTTACAATATCTTAAGTTATAGATTAGGCTAATATGAGAAAATTTTACAAATTTTAACCATATCTTAGCACTACTTATGCTTTTATAAATAATCAAAATAAACTAAACCAATTTCAGAACTTTCAGTATATGTTTATTGAGCATTGGACATACGTTTCTTGTCTACAAAAATCATAATTATAAGATTAAGAAACTGCATTATAAGTAGGACATAAAGTATAATTGCTATTGACTAGAACTTCTAAGCAAATCAATAAATTTCTTGCTAACTATTTTTCTCTCCTAATTGTTAAATTTTGTTTTTGATTTTCACATAGATACGGTAAAAACATATAAGAGTTTTTTAAAAAAGGAAAAAAAAAAATATACAGCAGTAAAAAAGTTGTTCTTTCTAGGGTTAGGATTTCGTCAATCTTTTCTACCAATATATATATACATACAGAGCTTTCCACTAATTAGGGTTCTACAATTCCATCAGTCGGTTTCCATCACGTCCATTGCTATCAGAGCAACGCATGATGTATAATAACTAAGCGTCGCTCTGATACCAAATTGATGCAATGGAAACATCGATTTTGCTTTTAGATTTATTTTCCCCAATTTCTCGTAGTCAGTTCTTTAAATGCTTCAGTTTCCTCCTAGATTTAAATTGATCTAGAACTTTGGGGGTTTTTACCCAAGAATTTTACAAGAAGTTAGGCCATGAGTTTTGGATTCAGACCGAACAAACTTTTCCGTGTTTGGAGAGCCGACAATGTTATATATGGAGCTCTAAATTTGATTTGTTATCCGTAAATGTTCAATACACTGCGATGCTCAAGGTTAGACTTATATCTTGGATTTGGCTTATATTTCTTTTTCTTCAAAAAATACCACTTTCGTGTCTTGCATAGAAAAAGGTAAACAAAGACTTTAATTCTTGAGATTTGTCAAGTTTTTATTTTGTGACCTTAGAAAAAGGTAAATGAATACTTTAATTCTTGTTCTAAAGTTTATGTATACTAAAGGTTGCTAAAGACTCTTATTAGAAATTTAGAATCCATAATAAGGGGGATAGAAAGAAGGCCACTTGCCACTCATTATAATGGTATATAGATTGTTTGTTAATATTAATTAATGGTCTTAGATTAATGTGACACCATATATACTTTTGACAACCATATAATTAAGAGTGCCTTTGAATCTTTATAGTTATATCAATTGGTTGCCATGATTTCTTTTGATAAGCTTCTTCTGCTTACCTTTTTAGCGGTATCTCTCATTCTAGTTGCAGAGAGTCGCGGACAAATCTTACTAGAAGATGATGAAAACGAGTTGGATAGGTTACTCAATTATATCAATAAACCTCCAATCAAGAGTTTTCAGGTAAATTAGTCTTTTGAAAAATCGGATAACATGTTCGTAAGTTATGGTTTTCATGCGGCTAGAATCATATTGTTTACATATCAAATCAAGTTGATTGCTTTTTTCAATTCTGTAGACTGAAAATGGTGATATATTGGATTGCATTGACATTCACAAGCAGCTCGCATTTGATCATCCTCAGCTCAAAAACCATTCTATTCAGGTTTATGCATGTCTATATTATAGAAGTTCCCTACTTCGAGTATATTTTTTTAAAAAGAGGAGTTTATTTATGAATTGATTGAAATATGATGTGCAGTTGAGGCCTACAACTATACCTAAATGGAACATAACTAATAATAATGATTCTCGTCCCGTACCGCTTCGACAAGATGGCATAAGTTGTCCACTTGGGACCGTGATTGTTAAGAGAACCACACCGAATGATCTTATACAAGATCAGCGTTTGAAAGCCATGGGGTTCAAAGATTCAATATCTCTTTCTTCAAAGAGCAAGAACATTGATTTGACTGGTTTTCATGTATTAATCTGGCTAGTACATCTGTCACATAGAGAAATTTGAATTTCCCACATACAATGAAGCATTAATCACTTCTTTCTTCTTATATTTTCTCTTTGATTCTAGTTTGCCGTGGCTCAGTACAAATATTCTCATTATGGAGCAAGGGGAAACCTTAATCTTTGGGAACCAGAAGTTTCACCTACTCAATTCAGTCTTGCAAGTATGCTTATCTCTAGCGGCTTAAATGAACAGTTTCAAGGCATTAGAGCTGGATGGATAGTAAGTCAAGATCTTGTGTTGTCCCTTGCTTTCTCTAATTTTTTTTTTTATCAATGGTGAAAAGTAAAAAAAGATTACCAAAACCCACACTCAAAAATATCCTCAGGTGTACCAATGGTTAAACCGGAATCACACTCGCTTATACACCTACTGGACTGTATGTTCTCAAAATCTCTAAAGAGCTTTAATATAAAATCCATCTTGACATTTTTGATATTCTCATGTTGTGGATATCATCATTTATACATGTTCTATCATTTGACTCATATAGACGGATGGATTTAAGAAGACAGGATGCTATAATACATTATGTCCTGGCTTTGTGCAAGTGAGCACTGATATCCCACTAGGCTTACTTCTTAAACCAATATCTATTTACAGTGGCGAACAATATGAAATAAACATCAACATATATAAGGTAGCATCAACTACCAAAATTTTCCTTCTCTAGTCATTTCGAATGTATAAATAACTGCGTCTGTTTAAACAGGATCATATTACAGGAAATTGGTGGTTGATGGCGTTCAATAATTATGTTGGATATTGGCCAAATTCATTGTTCACAGATGTTGGTTTAGCCCATGGAGCAAGTTTAGTATCATGGGGAGGAGAAGTATACAGTCCAGTGAAAGAGAAGAGTCCAAGCATGGGAAGTGGACATTTCCCACAAGAGGGTTTCAAGAAAGCAGCCTATGTGAGTGGTATTGAACTAATCGAAGATATTAAATTGGAAGGTTCGATGGGTCCACCACTTCATTCTCTAAAAACAGTTTCAAGCACCCCAAATTGTTACAAAGCCATAAAGAAACCAGGTATGGGTGAACTTTGGGCTAATGCTATTTTCTTTGGAGGGCCAGGAGGATGTACATTCTTGTTACCATGTTCTTAAGATCTCTATTTAGTTTTTCATTTTTAAGTTGAAATATAGTACATATGTTTTGGTGGAAGAATTGAAACAATTATGCTGGAAGATATTGTTGGAGCTACTTCGTAGTGTCCTTTTTTCAAAAACAATTTGTTTGCTTGTAATAAGGTTTAGCTAATATGCAAAATTACTTCAGTACATGTTTCTTCTACTTTTTTGGGGGGTTAAAGTGGGGAAATTAATCTCCTAAATTTTTCTTTTGAAACTAGAGAAAGGTATCCAGGAATGTCAATACACTACGATGTTCAAAAGATTGACTTATATCTTGGACTTCGAGTACTTTTTTTTTTTCACAAAGCAGAGCTTTTGTCATAGGTAAAAGTAAACAAAGAATTTAATTATTGGAGATCTGATAAGTTTTTTTGTGAGCTTAGAAAAAGGTAAAAAGGAAAAAAGTCTTAAAAGTTTGCAAAAGACTTTTATTAGAATCAACAGAAAGCTAATAGCAAGAGAGCCACTTGCCAGTCATTCTACATAGGATCTTTATTGATTTTTATGGTCTTTAGATTAATCTGACACCATTATATAGTTGTTGTGCATCAAACATTTTTTTTTTTTTTTTTTTGTGTGTGAAAAGATAGTTAATATATAGTCTTGGTTCCTTGGGAGTTTTATTAGTTGCCATGAATTCCTATGAAAAAGTTCTTATGCTAACTTTTTCAGCAATAGCTCTAATTATAGTTACTGAGAGTTACAGAACAAAACCATTGGAAGAGGAGGAAAACACGTTGGAGAGTTTACTCAACTATATCAATAAGTCTGCGATCAAGAGTTTTCGGGTAAGCCTTTCAAAAAATATGGTATAATCATAGAATGGTCGCATTTTTTTCAGAACAAATCAAGTTTATTTCTGTTTGCAATTCTGTAGACTAAACATGGCGATACATTGGATTGCATAGACATTCACAAGCAGCTAGCCTTTAATCATCCTCTACTCATAAACCATTCTATTCAGGTTTTATCCCATATAAGAATTAGTTCCGATCCCTAATTCGACTGAAAGTTCTTAATGAAGAGCTTATTTTATGAATGGATTGGAATATGATGTGTAGTTGAAGCCTACGACTATACCTAAATGGACCATAAATAATAACAACAATTCTGAGAAAGGTGGTTCCTTCCCGTTTAGACGAGATGGTATAAGTTGTCCACTTGGAACCGTGATTGTTAAGAGGACCACACTGGAAGATCTTATACAAGCTCAGAGTTTGAAATCCATGGGCTTCAAATCTTCAAGATATGTTTCTTCAAAGAGCAAGAACATTGATCTATCTGGTTATCATGTATGAACCAGGCTAATACATCCCTATATATATATACATTGAGCATTAATCACTTTTCTCTCCTTATTATTCTCTTTGTATTATAGTTTGATGTGGCTCAGTACAAAAAATTTCATTATGGAGCAAAGGGAAATCTTAACATCTGGGAACCCGAAGTTTCACCTAATCAATTCAGTCTTGCAAGTATCACTATCTCTGCAGGATCAAATGAACAGTTTCAAGGCATTAGAGCTGGATGGATAGTAAGTCATAATCTTGTGTTTTCCCTCGCTTTCTCTGAATTGCACTCATCCATGGTGAAGATATAGAAAATTTACCAAATATACATATTCCAAAATATCGCTCAGGTGTACCAATGGCTAAACAAGAATCACAGCCGCTTATACACATATTGGACAGTAAGATCTTAAACCTCTAAAGAGATTTACAATAATACATTTGACCTCTTTTTTGGTATTTTCATGTTGTGTCTCGCCATGATTTGTATATGTCCCTTTGATTTCGAAACAGGCAGATGGGTTTAACAAGACAGGTTGTTACAATACATTATGTCCTGGCTTTGTACAAGTAAGCACTGATATCCCACTAGGTTACCTTCTTCAACCAGTTTCCACTTACGGTGGCAAACAATACGAAGTAGGCATCAACATGTATAAGGTAGCATCAACTTCCAAACAAATTTGCTTATATGAGAAGTTTTATGATATTAGCCAATTCCACCAAAACTTGAGGGTATTTGTTAATGAGAATGTTCATGCTGTTTCTCTAGTCCTTTGATTCTATAAGTAACCGTGCTTGTTTAAGCAGGATCATATTACAGGAAATTGGTGGTTGGTGGCGTTCAATAATAATTATGTTGGATACTGGCCAAAATCATTGTTCACAGATGTTGGTTTAGGCCATGGAGGAAGCTTGGCCTCATGGGGAGGAGAAGTATATAGTCCAGTGAAAGAGAAGAGTCCAAGCATGGGAAGTGGACATTTCCCACAACAGAAAAGTTACACGAAAGTAGCCTATATGAATGATTTTGTAGTATATAATGATCTTGGATCGGAAGGTATGACTCCACCACTTGATACTCTAAAGACATTCTCAAGCACCCCGAATTGTTACAAAGTCAAAAAGGACCAACCATTGTTTGGTCATGTTTGGGATGACGCTATCTTTTACGGAGGACCAGGAGGATGCACATTCTAGTTATCGTGTTCTTAAGATC